CGGGTGCCGTCAGACGCGGCACGAGCTCGTCTGCCAGGGGCCAGCCTTAGTCCTGCGGAACAGAGGCACCAGCAGCTTCCCTGCGCTCTGACGCCATCAGCAAAGCCGGTGTAAAAGGCGGATTTTGGGTGGATGTTGGCGCTGGGGGATGTAAAAGCTGCCTGGTCCTGCCCTGTCCTGTCCCAGTTCCCTCCCAGTGTCCTCGCCAGGGCTGTTGGCGTGTCTCCGCCGTCGGGCTCGCAGTGACGGGTGCTCTCTGTTCCTGCTCTCCCCAGGAAGCACACTGGAGAGAAGCCCTTTGAGTGTTCCAAATGCGGCAAGTGTTATTTTAGAAAAGAGAATCTCCTGGAACATGAAGCCAGAAATTGCATGAACCGATCGGAGCAGGTACGTCCGGGAGGCTGCTGCTGGCGGGCTGTGAAGCGGCTGCTGTTTCGCAGGAGCAGGCCACAGTCCCTGTCCCGCTCAGATACGAACAAAACCCCCTCGCCCCCCTGCCAGCAGCTGTAGCACAGCCAGGAGCCCCCAGCCCGCTGCCAGCGGGGACGGCAGCAGCTTTTGTCTAATTTCCCAGACAGCTCTCCTTTGCTCTGTTTTTCCCAGCGCACCAGGATACTCTTTGTACCGTAAAAGACCCCGATCTCTGCGGGTGCGGGTTAAACGTCACCGCCAGGTCCCGGCGCTGGCCCGAGCCGCGGGCTCGCATTGGACTCTCGGCTCTGCAGATGCCGACGCCTCCCCCGTCTCTTGCAGGTTTTCACGTGTTCGGTCTGCCAGGAGGTGTTCAAGAGGCGGATGGAGCTGCGGCTGCACATGGTGTCACACACGGGGGAGATGCCGTACAAGGTCAGCGACGTCCCTGCACAGCACGGAGGAAGAGGGCACGAGCCTTTCTCTTTGGGGCAGCCTGTCGGGGGCCGGGCGCACCGCTGAGGGTCGTTCCCAGTCTCCAGCCAGAAGGAGCTCCAGGGCCTTCTGCGGCCTCACCAGGATTTGTGCTCCCCTGCCCGGCACGCTGCCGGTCCTCCCCTCACACCAGAATCGCTGTTTGGGGGCGGCTGGAAGCTGACCCCCCCGCCTTCTCCTGCCTTTCAGTGCTCCTCCTGCGCCCAGCAGTTCATGCAGAAGAAGGACCTGCAGAGCCACATGATCAAGCTGCACGGCGCGCCCAAGCCCCACGCGGTAAGGGAGGGGAGCAGGTGGGCTGCGGGACGTTGAGGGGGAATTGCCCCGCGCTCAGGCCTGGCCTAGGGAATGGGGCCCCTTCAGCGAGGCGGGGAGCTCCAGAGCTGCTGGAAACCGGTTTTTGGTGTACAGGAGCAGCCCTTGTCATTTTTTTGGCTGGTCCAACCAAGTACTGAGCAGCATTTAGCCTTTGTCGGGCTGCCTCGTCCCACGAGGCGCCTCGGAGCCGGGGGGGCCGCCACAGGGAGCGGGGATGGGCGGGTCTGTGGCGGGCGTTCCCGGGCGAGCTGCCTAACCCCACGCTCCTTCTGTGGCCTTGCAGTGCTCGACCTGCTCCAAGTGCTTTCTGTCTCGGACAGAGCTGCGCCTGCACGAGGCCTTCAAGCACCGGGGAGAGAAGCTGTTTGTCTGCGAGGAGTGTGGGCACAGGGCCTCGAGTCGCAACGGCCTGCAGATGCACATCAAGGCCAAGCACAGGTAGGATGTGACCCGCATCCTCCCCCGCGGGCCCAGCGGGGCGCTGCTGGGGAGGGGAGGGCGCTGGAGGGCGGCGAGCACCCTCACCCCGGCAGTGCTGGGCTGAAACTTCTTCCAGAAATCTGGTGCGGGGCCAGGCAGCGGCCTGCTTTTCGCCCTTCCAAAGGAAGCATTGGCGCTTCCTCCAGGCGTATGGCTGTAGCCACAGAGGCGACGATCAGAGCCCATCAGCCCGGCTCATTTGTGCTCCTGAAGGGGCGAGTGCGCACCAGGGGCTGCTCTCCGTGCCGCGCCGCAGCCTTCTGTTTCCTGGGCTGGTTATAACCCCTGAGGCGGGGAGGAGTCTCCAGCTCGTGAGCCTGTGGCTGCAGAACAGCATTTGTGGGCCACCAAAATACTTGAGTTTGAGATGGGCTGAATCAGGATTTAATTCAAGAGCCCTGGGCGGGGAGCAGCGGCGAGCCCGAGGCTGGCACAGGCGGAGGTGAAGGTAACGTTTGCCCTGCCTGCAGGAACGAGCGGCCCTATGTCTGCGAGTTCTGCCACCACGCCTTCACGCAGAAAGCCAACCTCAACATGCACCTGCGCACGCACACCGGCGAGAAGCCCTTCCAGTGCCACCTCTGCGGCAAGACCTTCAGGACACAAGGTACCCCCGGGCGCGCGGCTGGGGCTGGCAGCCGCGGCAACACCCGCCCTCTCCTGCCCGTTCCCCCCCGGAGCAAAGCCCCGCTCGGGAGCACACGCTGACGCCGGGGAGGGCGCGTTCCCGCTCTCCCCGTTACACCTCCTGGCACGGCAGGGGAAGGCAGTGCTGAGCCTGCCCCAGTAAGGCTCAGCCCGACCCAGCAGGCCGCTGCTTGCTCTGAGCCGTCCAACCCAGCGGGGCACACGGAGCGGCCGCGCGGTCTCGGGGCCCGTCC